CCCCCCCCCCCTCCCTCCCCTCCCCCCTCCCCCCTCTTCTCCTGACACCACTAGTGGCCAAAAGATCTTCCAGTTTGTGCCCATCTGGGCTGCAGCTTCAAGCTCTGGAGATGTTCTGGTCAATAACACACATTAAACCAATTTCTCATTTTCTCAGTGTCTTGCTAAGCAAAATCACCTAGTAGATAAACTCATCCTTTTTTGGGGTAGCACTTGAAATTCAGGGAGTAGTTTTTGAAAGCCCCCAATATGTACTGCAGAGGACTGGGACACACATAGGCAATGAAGTTAAAATTCTAATTTTATGTGAATACTCTATGATCCCTGAGCAAGTCACTGGATAATCAGTGCACAGTTCACCATATCCCACCACTGCTGTAGGTGCTTTGCATATTTTAATTATGCAGTTTTCACAATAGCTCCATGAGAAGTCCAATGATTATAAACTCATGGTGAGTTTAAGTAATGCCAAAGGACAGGTAGCTAACAAGTAAGGGACTCAACACGTGAACTAGAATTGGTACCACAGTGTTATTTCTCCACTCAAAGGACTCCTTTAAAAATCTATAAAATGGGGGCAATAATATCTACCTAATAAAATCATTTTTAAGATGAATTAACAAAATCTAGGCTTGGCCCAGTGCCTAGAATAGTGGAGACTGCTTTCTTTAAATATTACTTCTTTCTCTTCAATTCCAAATGATGAGAGAGGAGGAAAATTCTGAAGAGCTAAGTAGCTGGAGAGGAGCACAAGGTGCTGAGTGGAAGGAAACACAGTTCCAAGGAGAAGTTTTAAACTTAATGATAGAATTGTTTTTAAGATCTTTAAGCTGTAGTAATTTACTCAATCTACTAACAAAAGACCATTTTATTTAGGAGCACCTTGGGTAAGATCTCAGGGTATGATCCACTTGGTTGCATCTTCATATTAAAAGACCATACTAGAGATTTCACTTTAAAAAATATTTAGAAGTTCTTCTCTGTAAACATTATCAAGCACTGAGATGTCCTTTAAGAGAGTTCCCCCCAAAATAAATTTGTTTCATTTAAAACTAGAGTTACAGCGGGGTGGTTGCTCAATAATAGAGCACGTGCTTGGCATGTCAGGTCTTGAGTTTCAATCTCCAGTGTCACAAATTTTAACTAACTACATAAAATTATAGTCATATACAATTATTCATTAATAAAATTGCTGATTTTTTTTCACCACAGTTGGCCTTATTTTAAAAAATTGGCTTCAGAATCTATTTACAGATGGCTGCACTTTTGTAAATTTCACTTACTGAAGTAGAGGATGCCCAAAATTATGAGATGAGGGTAAAAGGTAAAGTGAAGAGGCAGTTAAAGTACATTTTATCTTTATTTTTAAAAATCTGTTACAAAATTACAGCTCTGGGGCTGCATAAAAAAACTACAAAAAAACTGAAAAGAAATTGTATGAAATTTGCATTAAACTTTTTCAAGACATATTTGGTCTGTGAAAGTTATAAGAAAGTATCATTCATAGTTCAATACTCATAAATTCATGACACAATGTGTAACATTAAATAACTTAAAAAGATACACATAGAATGTAAACATGTATGTGTATATGAGATAAATTCTCTGAGAATTCAGGGCCAGGCTGGTAACTTGGATGAATTCCTTCTTTTTATCGTTTTAGAGGTTTATGACTTTCCCAACATTTACAAATCAACAGAGTGAAGTATAAAACTACATGATTGTATAGGTCTGCTCTTTGCAAATAGTTTAGAAATTAAAATTGGGTTCTATCTTTTTTATATTAAATAGTCAAACCTAAAAATATTCAGAAATGAAGTCACAACTTTAAACATTTTACATTTAAAAAGCTCATATTACCTTCCTGAAATTTTCCTGCATCTCTTTACTGCCTGTTTATGTCGGGCACGAGAAAGAGTAGCTTTGATGCCAAAGGTGGATTTTTAAGAGTGGCTGCCAAACTCCACAGTGTGGCAGCTTTGTTACTTACTTATTGGATGGGATGCTGAGTGGACAGGCACAGGGCTGGCAGTCTTCAGGGGTCCCTTGGGTAGGATCACCATAGAAACCAGGAAGACACAGGTTGCAGTAGGGACCACCTGTGTGATCCTTGCAGTTCTGAGGAAGAATTCCACACCAGAGTTCATTATTTTAGACTCACACAGCAACATGTGGCAAAAAATAGGTCTACAAAGTCATTAGTCTGTTCCCTGGCAGGAAGAGCAATTTTTCCACCTTAAATGGTCAATTTTACAACAGGGAAGTAGCACTGAAAGTTGCTTGAAAATCTAGCTTACAAACTACACACTAGTTTCAACATAGGCATTCTTACACAGGGATGACTAAAAGTCATTATACTTTTTTATTATGTGAATTTTATTTCCTTTTATATTCTTATGGGAATGTTAGTGTTTTGTGTGTGTGTGTGTGTGTGTGTGTGTGTGGTCACAGATCTCCAATGACATATGTTTAAGGGAAAACGTAGCTAAGTCTAGGTAAAAATCAATTGTACAACTTAAAACTGCTTGTTTAATGAGAATGGTAGCTAATCATACAAATCCCCCAGGGCTGTGCCTTCATAGCTCAGACATTAATTTTGAACTTGGTGGATGCTGATGGTCTGGACAATGATTCTTTATATTACATTGGGGAGGATTTTGCTTGAATCATAATTGAAGGTAAGAAAATTGAAAAAAAATTTAAACAAGGCATGGATAATGAAATCACAAGGCACCTATCAATTTTCCTCAGATATTTTTAAAAGAAAACTAAAATGACATTTTCTCACTAATTACTGTTTTTAGATCCATGTCTTTTTAAAAAATTAAAATAAAATAATTTTTATCTCAATTGCTTCATATTAAGTAAAGTCTATTTCAAGCTCAGACTGTGTTCATAAAACTTAAGACTGGCATATAGGTGAATAATTCAGTTAATGAAATAACAGAATCATCTGTAAAGCTTCCAAAAACACCATATGATAAAATTTTATTTTGTTTTGTTATTAGGTATACATAATTTCAGTCTCCAATAATACAACAGAGAATATATAAAATTTATATTAAAACTATTCTCTGCAGATTCATTGTTGCTGAATTATAGAGTATATACAGTTGTAACTTCTCCTTATATCGAACAGAATTCATCAGAAATTAAGACTGTGTAGCCTTTATCTTTATGACCGATAACAAAATTTGTGAAGTAAATAGCTAAACTATAAATTGACTTTAAACACAGGTTAAAAGTTTACACAACTAGATGGCCATTGAAATAGATTGAAAATCCCAAAGTATTTATTTTAGTATACTTTACAAAATCATTTTCAATTATATTTAACAAGTAGACTCAGTAAAAAATAAAGACACACTTTTTGACATAGCATTTTAACTGTCCTTAGAGAAGACAAATTTATTTGTAAAGTGAGAGACATTTAGGTTATAATCCAATCCTTAACTCTGAACCTGCCATCTGCATTCTAATTTTGACCAAAGGAACTAAAGTTGATGCTTCAGGATCAAGCTCTTGTACCCCATGCCAACTTCACTAACTACAAGTTCAAAGATGTTTCTATTAGTAACTGGTAATATTTGTGTTTTTCTTTTAAGTCTTTTAAAATTTACTTAGCAAAACTTTCTAAAAGGTAGTATAAATGTTAACTTCGCTATTAGCAGTTGTCAAAGTAACAGCATTTTGGGAACTAATGTAAAAAACATGGATCAATTTCGGAAAAAACTTTACCCTTTGAGTCTGTATGTCTCTTTCACTTTTCCAAGTTCAGCTAAACTCATCTGTTATCAAAAAATGTTTGTTTTTTGAAAAATGATTTTCATATTGTCATGTTGACCTAAAGAAAATTATATTGTCAAGAATTTAGAGGATTTAAAGATTAGGATCAAAAACTTGACTCTGCCTGACCAAGTAAAAAATGGGATTTCTAACTCATCTGAAAATCTTGAAAAAGCTCAGGGAGGGGATTCTCTTTAACTAGCTATTAGAAGAAAAACAAATATGGGCAAGTTTTTTCATGCTACTTCATTTTATCTTCATTAAATGGAAACAAAAATACAATTTTAAAGCCCAAGGAATTTTTTTTTTGCTTTTATTTTTTGCATGTGGAATTATAAAAGCACTACATAATCGATATAACTGAAATCAAAACTGAAACAGATGAAAGTCAGACTGATAAGGTGAAGTTTACAGAAGGCTGGCTGCAAAGGTGCCCGTTAAAAAATGACTGTTCCCATCCTGTGTCTCAGCGATGCGGATCATGCAATTTTACTTTGTGGATTTAAATGCTCCCTGGGTCGGTTCAAATTTATTTTGAGTAAAAATGATTTTTACAGCAGAATTTTGTTCTGATGTCAAAAATGTATTTCACTTTACTTAAAGTCAGATTTTTTTTTAAAGCCAAGCTGGACCAAAAATCAGCTTCTCTGTAGATTTCATAAATTATCTCCTTAATAATAAAAAATTCTTCTCAATAGTAAGAAGCAACTAAAGTACAGAGTCAATGAAACAGTGACACTGAGTGCTTTTAATATAGAGTATTAATTTATTTTTTTCCTGTGGGTCATATCAGAATCAATATGATCAAAATAGAATATCAGTACTTAATTTTTGATATCATCTGTGAGAAAGGTATTAATAAATCTCCAGAAAATATCTTACATGATCACATATTCATCAGCTACCTGGTCATTCTGTCTACATCATGAAGATTTCCAGGATCCCTTTATATATTTTTCTTTTTTTCTTTTTTCTTTTTTTTTTTTTTTTTTCTTTTTTTTTTTTTTTTGTATTTTGGTACCGGGGATTGAACTCGGGTCCTTATGCTGCTTGCAAGGCAGGCCACCGAACCGCTGAGCTAAATCTCTGGCCCATCCCTTTATAATTTGATGGACTCCTACCTGAATTTACTAAACAATTAATACGCTGTTTCATTAGAAGGAAAACACAAATTTCACTGTCCCCTCCCGGCTTTCTCTCAAAGTTATGCTGAAACAAATGACCTTATTTGAAAATAAATGGCTGCCACTGTTGAAATTTCACATCATGAAATGGTCCAAAGCATAATTTGACTTCATCCTAATGAATTCTACCTGAGATATGACCTTAGGGAACATTATAAATTTGGCATTGTGGTATAAATATTTTTATATTTTTGAATTTTTAGAGTTAAGTAAAGAAAAGCCACATTAGTTTAGAGCTACATATTTCCTTTTGCATGTTCAAGTATTTAAAGGTAATTCAATATTTTCCCAAGGTATATTTGAAAAGACTGCTATAATTGAAATGAAAATCATTTAGTCTTTCTATTTGTAAAAATGCCATTTGTAAAACTACTGATTCAAAATTAAGGCTATCATGCTTAGAAATGTAATGCAATTAAGCACAATCTTATACAGAGAAAACAGAAAGTATATCAATAAACCTAAATGCCAAATTATATCGAAACAAAAGCCCTGATTTTTCACTTCGGATTTTTTCCCAGAAGCTTTTAAATAGAAAAGAAAGAAGGGTGGTGAGGAAGAGAAACAGAACATTAAAAATTACAAACAGCGTCTGCCTTAAGTTCTGCAGGGAAACGAGAATATGATATCTTTCTAAACTGGCACCATTTCAGATTGTGTTTCTGCAAGACTAATGAGGAGAGCTGTTCCAAGCCTCTTGCCACGTCAGACAGTCGTGCAACTAATAGGCCCTTGGGTTAATCACAGTGGGCTATGCGGAGTCCTTCTCAGGCCTAAGGCTCAGCGCAGCAGAAAGAGCTTCGCATTTTGTACAGATTATTTTCCAGTGAAAATTATAGACTTAATTGCAGAAGAGAAACAGCTCTTGCGATTGTGCATTATATATATTTATTATTTTAATCAGTTCCTGACACTTTGCATGTAAATATTAGAGTTTTTAAACTAAAAATATGTACTGTGTCATTTTAATGTGAAAAAGAGTGAACCGCTTAAGAAGTGAATTGTGTTTATTACAAAGGTTATATTTTACAGTTTTCCCATTATTAGATATGAATCATTTCCAAGTTTAGCAGAAGAGTGTACTTTTGGTTGATTTATAGAAGGGACTAACTATGGTATCTATGGAGACATGGTTATGACTTGTAATGAGAGATTTGATTCTAATTCAGTTCTTAGGCTAATGTGATACACACTTTCCCCAGGAAGACTGCACAGGAGGGAGTATTGTAAGCTTCAAGCTCATTTCAGGAGAAGGCACTTCCTGACTCACGTGCTGAAACAGAGCAGGGCCTTGCAGCTGCAGCGTTTGCTGAGCCGACTGCAGCCCCCGAAGGAGAAAGGACTCACCAGACATTCACCAGTAACATCATCGCAGGCGTCCGCGTGGCCAAGGCAGTGACATGGCTCACAGAGGCCACCGAAAATAGTGCCGTTAACTCTTCTGTGCCGAGGCCAACAAGACTGAAAGAAAGACAGGGCTGCAATCAGTCTCGGGTATTAAAGAAAAAGTTCTTTTTTTTTCTCTTGGTAATAGAAAATAACAGGTAGCAAACTCAGTAAATGCGCTTTGTCAAAGCTTAGGCATTACGGAAACATCATCACAGCACTATTACTCCTGACATCGGAGCTTCGTACTGACCTTGCTATTATGGGCAGGTGTGAGGCTAGAGGAGGCATTAGCCTGGTGTTTCTTCTGAAATAGTAAAATAAAGCACAGATATAAAGAATTGAAATGTGACAGTCTCAAAGTAAAAAGCAGACAGGAAAACTGAAGAGAGAATACTGAAAAAAGCAATAGACATAAAAGTGTTCTCAGAGCATCAGCCTAAAAGAGCAGCGAATGTCATCCCAGGCAATTTGGATTCTCTGGAACCAGCTAACGGCCCTTACCCTCTCCACTTTCAGGAAACCTTGAAATCACTTGGGGGATGGGCAGTAGCCCTTGCTACTTTCGACAATATGCACAGCTCATCTCTAAGTCTGCAATTCATAGGATTTCCTTCTAATTGTTTTCTTCCTTCTCTGCTCTCTGAAATGTAAACAGAATACCTTATGATTTACTAACCCTCTATTCTCTTTCCAGTGAGAGTTTATTGTATGGTGTTATTCTACTAGAACTTTGCTTGTATTCATCACTGCTCTTTAAAATGTGAACCACTTTATTACACAGAAGCAGAGTTCTGATTACAACAGGATATATGGGTCCTAGATTACCTGTGTATCAGGGCTTTCTCTGGGCCTACCGTCACCCGTAATTAATTGTCCCTTCTGGGGGGCCTCCTGGAAACTGCACGAAATGCAAAATAATTGCGAGGCAAATATTACTGCCCTTTAGGAGTACGTGATCCCCTCAAGTTGTAATTGCATTTTGTGGATTATTTACTAAATTTCTGGATGGCGAAATACATCACCACATTTCACGAAAAGGCCTTTTTCTAGTTGAAAATGGAAACAAGACAGAAACTACTGGAGCAATAAAGTATATAGAATTGTGTTATGTATTGTTGGAAATGGTCCTTCTGCCTCAGGACATAAGGACTTTTCAGTTCAAACATCAATAACAAACACATGAGGAAAAAGGATGTGCGGATATTTCATAGCTGACAGTGAAATCAACTTTTCTCTTAAGTTGAGCGTTTAAAAAAAAGTGTCCATTTTCTACACATTCTCGATAATTTCTTATTACATTTTTTCTTCTATTGATTCTGTGTAGAAGTTATTTCTTTCTGTAATATATATTTTTAGAAACTGGCAAAGCTACGGATCCAGAAAGGAAGAGCAACTTAAAGATGCTGAGAATGGAGAAATAATGGATTTATTGTTTTTAGGGGAGACACACATGGAGTTTTTTAAAAGTATTTTTAGTATTTTGAAATATACTACACATATCGCATCTGCTTTCTTCAAGTTTCACAACTGCTCACATTGCTCTCCCAGCTGTGAGTCTGCCTCAATCATCACAGGAAAAGCGAAAGCCATCCGAAGCCATCATCCTGCCACTAAGCCAACACATAAACACTGATCACCACGCAGTTTTGCCAATTTTCCCCTAGGAGCAAGAGGAGTGAGGAAGGCAGGATTCTTTTTCTTTTAAAGGAAAAATTACTCTGCTTGTATTTTGGACTCTAATGGGGGCTGCCTTTTCACTGTCCCCTCTCACTGCTGCATATCAAAACTTTCTTTTTTGTTGAATAATTATCATCTCAAAAATTTTGAATTGAATTTTTGCTAGAAACAATAGATCTATTGCCTCCATCAAAGATTAACTAACAAAAACGATAAAATTATTCCCTTAGCATTACATAATGCTTCCAGCTATGGTTTTTTTTTTTCAGCAAAACTACACTAAAAGATCTTTTCTTCCTCAATTTCCTTTCATACCAAATTCCATTCTAATCTGCCTTTCACCCACTCATGAAGACTTCGCTTGCCTTTGTCATCAAACTCCAGGTAGCCAGATCCCATGGGCAATCACAAATTGTGTTTTATCTGATCTAGCCAATCCAGTTTTATCATCTGACCTCATGACTTCTTTCTGAAAGAACTTCTTTCAACCTCTATGACGTCACATTCCTAAGCTCCCATGTTTTCTCTGCTGTCTCCCCTTCTTCGACACGACTCACGGCCATTAGCCACTCCATGCTACAGCTGGGTTATTTCAGTCTTCTTGTCACACCTTGAGCCCAGGCAATTTAATTAGTTCGGCCGTGTGATGCCTTCTGAATTCTTATCAGAGCAGTTGCACAGGCTGAGTTCAAGCCCTGTCTATTCCATCAGGAAACATACATTTCACAGTCTTTCTGAACCTCCTATTTCTAAATTGAATTGCTGATTCTCTCTTTCCCCAGCCAATATTTATCTCTCAGTCTTCTTCAGTTCAATCAATGGTACCACATCTAGTGTTCAGCTTTTTGTACCAGTAATCTGTGAGTCATTCCCAAACTCTTCATTTTGTTGACCTCTCTTCTGGTATACAGTCTATCAATAGTCCTATGGGTTCTACTACTGATATATGATCTACCCATGTATCTTTACATCCACTGCCATTATCCTAACGCAGACCATTACCACTGCTCTGTTCTACTGCAACAGCACATTATCTTGGTTCTTTCTTACCATTCATGTCTTTTGCTAATGTTGTGATACTGTAGTTATAGTGATTATTCTCCCACGAAATATAACTGAAATCATGGCACCATCTTTCTTAAACACCCATACTGATAGCCTAGGGTATTTAGAATAGCATTTCAAATTCTTATCATACATACAAAAAACTGCCCTGGTCTCTCTAATCACATGTTGAGCTCGCCCTCTTGCTTAGTTTGCTTTGGCTACATGTGTCTTTTTCTCAGGTCTTGCAGACAGCAAGCACCATGTCTCCTCCTTCCTTTTTACATAGTTGTGCCTCTTGAAACTCAACACTCAGTTTAATGGCACCACCTGAGAAGGCCTTTCCTGACAAACTCTTGTAAAGCAGCCCTTCCAATCTTTTGTACATCCTGTCTTCCCATACAATCTTTGTATACCCACTCCTAATTCCTCCAAGTGACACTGTTGATTTTACCTTGTATTTCAAAGACAATATGTTTATTGTTCATCACATTACTGTTCATGTCTGGGGCCTTGATTGTCTCATACAATCATCAAATGTCATTAGCTAAGTGAATGTACAAACACTTCTGCGAGGTAGTTAACACTAACAACCATCATATAGATGAGGTAACAGATTTGGCCTAAAACTTTATTTAATACTTCATTTTGCTTTTACTTCCTCGTCTTTCAAGCAAAATGAATTATAATAGTACTGGGAAAATAAGAAAATATTTAAAAGAATAACCATAGAGCAATTTGTAAGATACTGCGATGGTTGAGTTCAATTGTAACTTGACTTGCTGGGGAGCTGCTGAGGGGATTAGTAAAGAACACTTCAGAGTTTATCTAGGTGGGTCACAGAAGCACGGACTTAAGTACTAAATCTGGTCCCTGTCCTCTTTCACTCTGGCAATGTTTCCTTGCTTGGCTTCTAGACTACCATGAAGCAATCGTCTTGTTTTTCTACTTTCCCCCACCAGGATGTTTCTGTCTTGGAGCCAGTGGTAATGGACTGAACCTTCTGAAACAGTGAGCCTAATAAATGCTTCCTTCTTACATGTATATTGTGTTGGGAATTTGGTCCCAATGACAAAAAGTTGGCTAATATAGATGTCATGTAGAAATGAGAACAAGAAGAGAGCTTCTGAATCAATAGTGTAGCCCTCAATGAAGTAAAAGGGAATGGCTATAATTATAATGAAATAATTCGATATGTTTTTGGCTAGAGGTTCTCAGTAAGCTCGTATAAAATAGAGTGGTCTTTGTAGTCTCGTAGCATTGAAGGATTATCCCAGGACTTTAGTGATAACAGAGCTGCAATGACTAACCTTATAGGTAAGTTTAATTAAAAAAAAATTAAGACATGACAGGACTGGGTAATATTGAGTATAGAGAGAGGAAGTTTTGATAAAGAATCAAAGGGATTATTAGAGAGTAAAAGAAGTGCAGTAGTCAGTAACCCCAAAGTTCCAAAGTTCATTGTCCCCTGATTTGACTGTTTTAAAATATATTTTAAAGTTACTTTATTTTTCAGACAATTATTTTGTGAGAGGCACAAGAAGCTTACATCCTTACTCCCTTGTTTTTTTGTTCTTTTCACACTTGCCTGTTTTCCTCTAGCTTTTAGCATCTTTAGGATACTTTCTTTCTTTCTTTCTTTCTTTTTTTTTGGAACCGGGGATTGAACTCGCATCCTTGCACTTGCAAGGCAGGCCACCGAACTGCTGAGCTAAAACCCTGGCCCTTTAGGATACTTTCTGAGACATCTCCCATCACCGGAATGGCGCACTACTTTGAGCCATAATTGCTTTGATGACATGTACCACTTATTGATCCTTTAATTACAGAGTGCTGTGACTTAATTTTTCACAAGCATTTGCTTGTGTCTTGGAAGAGATTACTAGTTCTTTGAGACTGGAGATTGTCTTATATATTTAAAATTTATGCAGATAAGCTTATATAATATATCAATTTGTATAGAATTTTTCAACCATATTTTTGGAGAAGGAAAAGAGGGATAGAAAGCATAGCCAAAGAAACAATTCTAATATTCAGACAATTTTACACTCGATGAGCATTTGGTTGTTATATAAAAGATCATAAGTAAGACGGAACAATATGGAATGTATTTAAGTAAGAATAGAATTATTATTCCAATTGAAATCAGAATTTAAAACTTTAAAAGGATCTGACTGATTGGAAGTTGAAACTGGAAGACTGTAATGAAAGAATGTTTCTTCAAAAACAATATGCATATTTTATATAAAATCAAATTTGGGATCACATAGCTAATGCATATCCTTGACTACTCTTCTTTTTCTTTTAAAAATCTTGAAAAGCAAATACTTCAAAGCATTACATTTTGTATTACTTCTAGATAGGCAAATCTGAGCCCAGTTAATGAAAATAGCTTTGTCATGAATATGACTCTAAGCTCTGTGGGGGCACGCAGTATTTCAAAGTATAAGGAACTGACAAACCCATGCCGAGTATTCCTATAAATGACATAATAGTGTAGTATTCTGAAGTAGAGCATCTTGGTGCCCTCAAATCATTCCTTAAAGGCACTATTTTAAAGAATATACATTTTTATTTATTTGAAAGCATTTCTCCCTATGTAGGAAATGGTATTTACAATTTCTGACCAGGTTTCAAGTAAAATCAATTTTTGAACTACATGAAAGAAAATATATTTAAGTAAACAAAATTATCACCTTAAAGTGACACCCCGTGCTATGAAGAAATAGTCATTATAAACCTATAGTATGTGAACAACAATAAGCATGTCAAATTTTAATTGGTAACAAATCACTGAACTATAAGGAATGGTCTAGAAGAAGGTACTTCTTGCATATCTTGTGTTCTTGATATTTTAAACGCTATATGTTTCAGATAGTGAATCTTGGTTGTATCCTTAGGAATTAGGTAGGGGAAAATTGTCATACACAGAATTAAAAATGGGAGAAAATTAAAAAGAAATGTATTAAGTTTTGTATACCCACTGAAATGAAATGGAAATAGAGGGATATTTTTCAAAATAATTCTGCTGTCATCCAGTTTGCAACTGATTAAGTTGTAATTATAGAACCTCAAATTTTCAGTTATAATAATGTAAAATCCCTCAAAAGGAAGTATAATTTCAGAATGAGATTTAAAAGACATGGCTTTCTTTCACTTGTTTGTTTGTTTGTTTGGTACCAAGGAATGAACTCAGGTCCTTACGCATGTGATGCAGGCGGCGGAACCACTGAGCTAAATCCCCAGCCCAAGACATGGCTTTCTGATGAACATTCAAGTTTCTTCTTTGAGAAGCTATCATTTGTTAACACAATTCCTGATGGGAAAAGTCCACCTCTTTTTGAAAGTTTGTGGACAGCGCTGTGGGAAGGAACTTAGGATGCACCGAGGCTGTGTTGAGGCACACTTACTTCACAGGAGGAGCCACTGTACCCTGGTGGACACTGGCAAACTTCCACAGCAGTGGCCACACTTCCATCAGTTGGATAGGGGACAGCAGTCTCAAGGCCAACATCACTCAACCTAGGAAGAGGGGGATAGGAATGGTGAGCCAGTAACCCAAACATTACAGCACTATGGGGAAGGCACAACAACCACGATGTACACATGTGCCAGCCATCCACAGGAGAAGGAGGTCTCATGGACACCCACACTGGGACTACCACTCATTATAAGGTTAGTGCTTGCAATCCATGGGTTCCACACCATTGGATTCAGTGACCTGTGGGTTGAAGGTATTTAGAGAAAATCTGTATATGTACTGAACATACATAGACCTGCTGTCACCATTCCCCAACCATTATAGAATAACAACAATTTCCAAAGCATTTAGATTGTATTGGGTATTATAGGCCATCAAGAGATAACTGAGTCCATGAGAAGATTGTGGAGCTTGAATGCAAACACCACACCATTTAAAGACTGAGCATCATGGGTTGGGCTTCCATAGGAGTCCTGGGATCATCCCTTGAGGGTGTTGAGTAAACGCTGCGTTGTGTTCAATCTACTCATTTAGAATCATTGCCTTCCCCGCCGTGTAAATACTGCAAAGATAGGAGACTGTTCTTCCTCATTTCCTGGCTTCTAGCAATGTGTTTTAATTTTTGGTTTGGAGGGATAGATGGCAGAGTTTGAAACCATATCATTGAAAGAATTTTTAAAAAGCGAATATTCTCCTGACTGCTTACTTTAACATGGAAGCTCAAAAAGCAGAAGGTAACAATATGTGGTGTGGTCAAACAAAGCAATAAAAATTGAAATTTTGAGAAGTAATTGCAGTAAAAGACACATTAGCTCCCCTCAAAATACTCTCCCTCTCTTCAGTCAAAGTTCACCTACCATTCTTGGAACTTGGTGAAGCAGTTCTGGGATCCTCTTTCTGTGAAAGTCTTTAATCATGTTGTTGTGGCTGCCTGATGACCTAAATCAGTTAACAAAGTTGATCTGCTCTGGTGACACTGACTTTGCAGAAGAGACAGAAGTTGCACAGTTCCAGATCCAATGAATAAGGTGGATGAGGACACACGATAATGCTTTTAAAAGCCTACCTTTCCTTTGGATGGTACACGGCAGCCACATTCAGAGTGGTTTCCATCACACTTTGTGAAAGCACTCATGAAAGGGGAACTTCTAGAACTGCTTCAGAAAGTTGCAAAAATGATGGGTAAGTGTGTTCAAAGTGAGGCAGAGTACCTTGAGAGACATTAATTGCAAGGCATCTTTTAATGTACTATTTTTATTTAAACATAATTTTTGATCAGTCCTTGTATTAATCTCAACTCTCAGGTTTTAAATTGAGATAAAGGATGGAAGTAATTCTGGTTTCTAGTCCCAGAGATAAACCTGCATGTTGGTAAGTAATTATGAGTGAAGCTTTCACAAATATTCATTTGAATTAGTTAGAACTATTTCCTTAAATTGTTTTTGGACTAAATTAAATCATTATTTCTTATATGCATGGGCTTCATTTTATTAGTACTTCTATACCCTCTGGTGATTTTAGCAGAGTAATTTAGCATCACTTACTATTTTAGAGAAAAGGTGGTTTGACCAAACTGCAAGTTAAAAAAATTCTATTTGCATAATTGAAACATACAAATAAATACATATTTCATTAATATATATTCAAAACTTTAAAAATATGATTGGTTTCTTACTGGCTTTACTCCATTTCTATAAACGAGCATGTAAAAGCTTGCTAAGAACACAGTCTTAACTGGATAGTACCTTAGAATGTGTATGAGTTCCTATATCAAAGTGTAAAGAAATTTAAACTGAAATCTTAGGACAGAGTCTATCAGACCATAATTCACACCCTGACTCTGAAATTTATTAGCCTTGTGTCCTAGTGAAAAAAGTATTTACTCTGTTGAGGGCTTTCTGTTAAGATCTCCACAATGGGTACAATATAATAGTCCATACACCATGAGCTTTGGTTAAAAATAATAATAAATATAAACCTCTTAGTAGAATTCAGCTGGCTATATCATGACATTAATTACCTGGAATTACTGGACTGTCAAATGTATACTATCTTATTCTGTTCATTAATTGAATACTTGTATTATTTCACTGTTGAATCATTAGTTTATTATACAAAAAACTGTTGTGGTTTACTAAATGGTGAATTGATAATCATATTAAAAAGTCCAAGGATTTGCAATGTAAAATTGATATACAAAACTTAAATGAAATGCATTGGAAGTTTCAAAATGGATGAATAAATAACTGATTAAGGAACAATTTTAAAAATAAAGATACAAAACAAAAATATTTTCAGTGAACTGCCAAATTTCATTTGTGTTTTGAACAGATGTTCCTCTCCTCAATCCGTGTAACCATTCTGAGTTGTGAGAAATTTAAACACTGAAACATCTTTCCCATTTAGTATGCACTGAACAGACCCAATGTTCATTAGGCTCTGCTATTTGTTAAATGGGATTTTAATGTGTTTAACAGTTTTAAGTGTTACTCATGAAGAAGACTGCAGTTTATTTTTTTCCTTTAATGTGGTCATTTTCTTTTCTCAATACCAGGCTGCATTCATTTAAATATAAATGTTAGCAGTAATATAGTACTAAAGTTTGGAGATGCATGAACTTTCAAAGACTCGTCGGCTAAGTCAAATTCTTTAGCTGTTTATCTCTCCTTATTGGTATGACTTGAAACTACAAAGAAGGTGATGGATGACCAGAAAATAAGCTACTAGGGAAAACACTGGAATCAAGTCAGAAACATTATCTTGGTGCTGTATTAATATGATTTTGTCTTACTACACTTCCCACCAGAGTTAAATATGCTATATTACACTACAACAACATCATCTCCCACAGCATTCTTCTTTGAAACAAACAAGTGAAAATTAACATTGATCTTCTAACTCTTTTAAATAATTGTGCTTTCTTTTTTCAAACCCATCTTCTTTTTTACTTGGAAGACTTCCATTTTGTTTCACTTAATAGAATGTTTCTTGAGCTGCCTGCCTGCCTGCCTGCCTGCAATCACCGGCGGCGTGCGCGCGAGCTCCCGGCCTGCGCGGG